TGGAGCCCTACTCTGCAGTGGCGGAGCTTCTCCTGCTGCTGCCTTTGTTCTGTCTCCCTGACTTTGGGGAGTGGGTGGATGTTTCTGGCAACCTGCCAGCACCCTCCATCCTCCTGGAAACCAAAGTTGGGTAGCACATGACCAGTTCTTTCTTTGTAGGCTTAGGGACTTGTATTGCTTTCTTTTGCTACCATGGAAGATTGAGAGCTGTTTGATTCTTATTGTAAAGGAAGGACTCTGTGGGGTCAATTATTTGCCAGGCTGATTTGTAAAAGGGGATTAAAGTGACCTATGAACCAAAAGCAGGAGTTAGACTTACTCTAACGAAGAGCTCTCCATTGACGAGAGCTCTTGGTCATGGTACACTCCACCTTGGGTGAAAGTGAGTTCCCTGTCACAGGAAAGAATCCTGTCATGTTTCTCAGACTTTGATAATGTGCTGACACCCCTCTTTTTTTTTTTTTTTTAACTGTGATGGGTGTTTAAAAATTACGTTAAAATGTACCCCAATCCCCTTTGAAACCATATGAATCTCACATGATCGTGTTTGTCTAAAATGAGACTGTTTTGTCCTTCTGTCTCCAGCATGGCCCCGTGATGTCATATAGCCCTGTGATGTGTCTGAGAACTTGCTTGAATTTGAACTCCTTTGGGTCCTCATTTGGCACTCTGAGCCGTGACGCTGTTTTGTCTTTAGTTGGCACAAACTTGATCTTTACATATGGCATCTCCCCTCATTCCTTTCACCTAAGCCGTGGACACAGTACCTCACCTGTGAGCTCTAAGGTTGTCTGCTTTGGTGCTGTATTTCACAGTGGTCATCCTGATGGTTTGGAGTATACTGATAACAATCAGGAAGTTTGGGCTCATCATTGACAATTTAAAATTCCTGTCAGAACTTATTAGATGCCCCCACCTCCTGAACATGTCCTTCTGCTCCCTTTTATGTTCTAATAATAGCTGATGTTGAATGTTACTGTGTGTCATGCCTTGTGCTCATTTTATTTTTATTTATTTCTTTTTCTTTTTCTTTTATTTTGTTCAGTTAGCCAGCATATACTACATCATTAGTTTTTGATGTGGTGTTCAACGATTCATTAGTTGAGTATAACACCCAGTGGCCTTCTGCTCCTTGTAGAATATGCGTTATTTCATTTTATCCCCACCACAGCCCTGTGAAGTAGATACCATTATTGTCATCTTGCGGATGAGGAAATTGTGCATAGTGACATTCTGCCCAAGATCCCAGGGCTAGCAGACAGTGGCTCTGGGCGCTCTGATCCTGAGGCTCTGCGCTTAACTTCCCGCACCCTGACTGCAGCCACTCGGGGTGTGAGAGCCACGCGGCTTCTCCAGTAAGCTTTAGCATTTTGTGCGCCTCCTTTCCTCACGTGAGGGACCTCGGTAAGCCAGGCTTGGAAGGCATCGGTAGCCGCGGCACACGCAGTGAACCACCTACTACGTGCACAGCGCTGCTCAGAGCAGCCACAGGGTCACCTTTGTTTTAGAGCGGCTCAGCACACCTGTATGCTCTGGACAGCCGAGCAGGTTTTTTAATATTTTAAACCTGTGTTTTGAATAGGCAGTATATTTCCTTTATTCAGAATTTGAAAGGTACAAAGGAGTATACAGTGGAAAGCCTCCCTCCTTCCTGTTTATCTACATCCCTCCTGTTGCAATCAGTGCTACCAGTTTATTGTGTGTTCTTTCAGAATAGTTTGTACAGCTGGTAGTTAGTGTCTTCTCTTTTTACGTAGATGGTAGTCCGTTGGACACACTGTTTTACACTGCTTTCGTAAAGGTGCCCAAGTTCTAAAGGATCAGTTGTTATTTTTGGTAGACATTTGTTGTGGTTGGAAAATGTGTATATGCCTCAGATTTGAAGAGACAGGTTTATTTTAAAGTCTTAAACCTTGTTCTGAGTATTGCTGTTGGTCACAAAATCTTAAACAACTGCTATAAAGGAGGTGAGATTGTGACTGTCTTTGGGGTCCACTGTTAGTCATCATCTTGTGTCCATAGTAATTTACCATTTCCTCCCTTAGCTGGCCAAGAAATACCACCCAGACACAAATAAGGACGATCCCAAAGCCAAGGAGAAGTTCTCCCAGCTGGCAGAAGCCTATGAGGTAACACGACCTACCTGTGTGTGCAGCCGCCGTCATTTAGCTGCTTGTGTACATCCAAGTGTGTGGCACAGGGTGGCCTGACGCGTCATGAGGTCCCGTGTGAAGGCTGTGTTCCCCATGCCAGATTACCTCAGTGAAGAAAAGATTCCCAGGTCTCCCGCTAGATCCCACTTGGCATCTCACGAGAAAACAGGATCTAATCATCTGTATTAACAGAGCTCCCAGGTCGTTGGGATTTATAGTCGGGTCTAGGAGCTCCTGGTTGGATTAATTAATCCCATACTTATTTGATGACGCCCTTACTTAGGGCATTGCTGTCTCCTGGGCTGGTGGGGATTGTAAAAGTAGAAGGCTGCCCTTGAAGAATTTGAAATGTAATCAGAGGGATGAAGCACGTACTTGTGGATGACTGCTGAGCCATTCCAGAGTGACCTTCTCCCCAGACTTCGAGCATCTGAGGGGTTCAGGATACATAGAGTATCACATATCTGCTCTTTGTGTGTATGTGTGTGCGCTCGCGTGCGCGTGCATGCCACCAGCCGTTTGGGAGTAAGTCACAGACCTGTCTTTTTATTCTTCAGTCATCCAGTGTGTGTTTTCTAAGAACAAGAACATTCTTTTGCATGACCACAATACATTTGTCAAAACCAAGAAATTTAATGTTGCTACAATCCCCTTATCTGTACTTGGTGTGCACTCATGTCTGTGTTCTGGGCATTGGGAGACTCGGGCGGGCCTGACTGTTGGGCCTTTCCGGTAGGTGCTGAGTGACGAAGTGAAGAGGAAGCAGTATGATGCGTACGGCTCTGCTGGCTTCGATCCTGGGGCCGGCAGCTCCGGACAGAGCTACTGGAAGGGAGGCCCCACTGTCGACCCAGAGGAGCTCTTCAGGAAGATCTTTGGGGAATTCTCATCATCTTCTTTTGGAGATTTTCAGAGTGTATTCAATCAGCCTCAGGAGGTAAGCTCCTTGTTTTGAAGAATCATTCCCATTTTAGCTGTTCAATGTGAGGCAAACAGATTTTATCAGTTTTTTTTTCTCAAAAAGAAAAAGGCATAGCAGCTCAATAGAATGATCTGGAAGCCGCCATTTTGGTAGAAATCATTTTAATGTTTAAGTAAAATCATGTAGGTAATATGTGTACATTCATTTTAACTATATTCTTGCAGCTGCTTAATCAGGCAGCCTAAGACTAAGGCTCTCGGGGTGTAAGTATTTTATCTTGAAGGCCTGCTACATTATTCTAGGAGAGCTCAATCCAGTAGGGAGACACACGGCATATTTATGTCCTAATAAGACATGATCAGAGTTGAAGAGAGAGGGGGGATGTTTTATGACTTAAGTTATGATTGTGGATCTTTCCAGCTGTCTTTAAGGACTGTGTCCAAATATTATCTGTGAACAGTTTGTTGAAAAGTACATTTTCACTGAAAACAAACATTCCCTTTTAAAAATCCTGAGGAGTACGGCAGAATCACTTGAGTCCCATCCATTCTTATTAGGCCGAGGATAGATAAGTAAAATAGTTAAAAAGTAGTGTAGCTGGGTGAAGAGATGAGTAGGTGGAGCACAGAGGATTTTTTAGTGCAATTCACATTTAGTGGAAGTACTCTATGATTTTATAACAATGGACATTTGTTCAGACCCATAGGATGTACACCACCAAGGGTGGACCGTAATGTAAACTATGGGCTTTGGATGATTATGATGTGTCCATATAGGTTCATCCTTGATTAAAAAAAAAATGTACATTCCGGTGAGTGATGCTGATGATGGGAGAGGCTATACATGTGTGGGACGGGGTGGGGGTGTGTGTGGGTGACCTCTCTACCTCCTCCTCAGTTTTGTAAATATAAAACTACCTTAGAAGAAAAAAGAACTGGAAACTGCTGACCATTGCCCTCCTTTGCTTTTTGAAGTGGAGGATCATGTTGGTAATTATCAAAAGAAAGATGTCAGGCTGTCCTCTGATTTCTTTAGTACATCATGGAGTTGACGTTTAATCAAGCAGCCAAGGGGGTCAACAAGGAGTTCACCGTGAACATCACTGACACCTGTGAGCGGTGTGACGGCAAGGGGAACGAGCCTGGCACCAAGCTGCAGAACTGCCACTACTGTGGCGGCTCCGGAATGGTAAGAGCCCCCATCCCCACCCCTTCCCTTGGGGCCTCCCACCTCTGGCCCACCCACTCTCTTCCTCACCATCCTGCTTTCTGTGCTCCCATGGCTGGTTACCCGGCAGTACTTAGTGCTTTGAGAGGCCGTAATTTGCTGGGACTGTTTTAGCTGTAACCTTCTTTTTCCCTGAGTGCTCTGTCTTGGTCAATGGTACTGCACTGTCCTTCTGAAAATACACTTGGGGATATTTTGGTAATTTGAAACCATGGTGGAGGGAGGGAGGTTTAAATTTTGCTTGAAGCGTCATCATTTTTTCTTTCTTTTTTTTTTTCTTTTTAAGATTTTATTTATTTGACAGAGAGAGCACAAACAGGGGCAGCGGCAGGCAGAGAGAGAGGGAGAAGCAGGTTCCTCGCTGAGCAGGGAGCCCAACATGGGCTCATGGATCATGACTGAGCCAAAGGCAGACACCCAACCAACTGAGCCACCCAGGCATCCCGATAAATTTTTTATATAATACAAACTTACAGAACAGTATAAAGGGTCACTCCATTATTCCTTAGCCAGATCACCAGTTGTCAGCATTCTGTCCCATTTGCTTTGTCATCTGTGTTATGTATTTTCAAAGAACAAGAATGTTCTTTTACATAACCCTAGTACATTTGTCAAAATGAGGAAATTTAATGTTGATACAATACCATTATCTGTACTTACTCACATTTTTTCTTCTTCTTCTTCCTTTTTTTTTTTTTTTTAATATGGAACGCTCCACGAATTTGCATGTCATCCTTGTACGGAGGCCATGCTAATCTCTGTATCGTTCCAACTTCAGTATATGTGTTGCTGAAGTGAGCACTCACATTTTTTCATTTGTCCTTATGGTGTCCTTTTTTTCCTGGTCCAGGATCCAAGCTAGGATCTCGTGTGGTATTTGGTTGTCATGTCTTTTGTTTCCTTTAATATCAAATAGTTCCTCAGCTTTTCTTTTTCTTAATGACCTTGACATTTTGTAGGATTACAGGCCAGCTGTTTTGTAGAATGCCCTTTATTTGGAATTCATCAGATATTTTCTCATGATAAGATTCAGATTATGTGTTTTTGGCGAAACACCACATCCCTTTCCAGTGGATCATGTCAGGAGTCATAAGGTGTCTGTCCCGTTAGTGGTAATGTGACATTTGAGCACTAGTAGTTAGTTAAGGTGGTGTCCACCAGCTTTCTTCACTGTAAAGTTATTAATTTTCCCTTTGAAATTAATGAGGAAGTTGTGGTGAGGTACCCTAACACTCTATAAATCTCTGGTTCCTCATCAAACTTTCACCCAATAGTTGTGTCCATTGATCATTCTTGCCAATTAGTTATTACTGGAACAGTCGCAAGATGGTGATTTTCTGATCCCAGCATCCTTCTGCGTGTCTTAGTTGGCATTCTTCTGAAAGGAAGAACTTTCTATTCTCCATTGATGTATTTATCATTCATTTATAGCAGTATGAACTCAGGTGTTCTTATTTTATTCACTGGGCTGTAATCGGTATAATTACTGCCTTTGATATTCAAATTGTTCTTGACTTGGCCTGTAGAGTCCCTTCTAGCTGGCTCGTGTATCCTTTGACAGGTCCCCCTCATTCTTTGAGCACTTCCTATCACAGTCGGATGTTCTAGACTCAACTTGTGCTTTTCCTGCCATACCCTTGAGCCAGTCGTTTCTCCAAGGGGTCCTGGTTGCTTCTAGTGTCTCCTGGGATTTAGAAACCAAGACCTGTGCTCTGGGTGTGCTCATTGCGTCTGGAGGTTTGCTGCTTCTACGCCCTCCCACAGACTAGGCCTGGGAAAAACATATGTGCGTGCTTGTGTGCAAACACGCATGTATATGCCCATATCTGTACCTCCTTCCATATTATTCACATTATACGTAGACATGTACATGCACACACCTATCCCTCCACCCACTATCGCTCTGACAAACCAGTGAGTTCAACGTGATAGTTCCACTTCTAGCCCAATACCACAAGGTTCATCTAGTCTTCTACCTATCTGTATATGAAACTTTTTTCTGATACAGAGAAGTCTGGCTTTGATTATCCTCAATATATTTACTCATTTGCTCAACCCTGTAACACAAAAAGGAGTTTTAGGATTGTTACTCAGACCACTGTGAAAAATAGTCCTAGTTACTGGCATTTGCTGTTTAGAGTTCTTTTCATCTTTTGATTGAAGGTGTATAGTTAAAATACTGTGCTCAAAAGTTATTTGGGTCAATTCTTTTTCTCCCCTTTCACTATGATTATATTTCTATATATTTAATTGTAGTTAGGTTTTCACTGATTATGTTTGTATTCCATTAAGATGGATTCCTGTTTGAGGGGATTGAGAAGTTCTCTACTACCCACCTTTAAAATCAGTCATTGTGTGTGTATGCTGGTATGAGGTAGAAGTTGTCCTTGAGAGCAGAAAAGTTCTTAAAAAGTATAAGTCCGGGGCGCCTGGGTGGCTCAGTCGTTAAGCGTCTGCCTTCGGCTCAGGTCATGATCTCAGGGTCCTGGGATCGAGCCCCGCATCGGGCTCCCTGCTC